TGGCTCTGAATCGTGATGTTCACCGTATGACAGGCCCTAGGGTACCTAGTTCAGAGTCTTAATGCTTCTCCCATCCAACTTAAAATCACTTAGATTCAGGAAAGTTTTTCTTTTAAATCACCTAATCATAAACACTGTCTTCTAGTGCAACTATCCCACAAATGCTATCCACTCAGTTCATCCGCCACTCACCCTCCACAGTAATCTAACCACAATCAACTTTTCTTTATCTCCATAGGCAACTATCCGCTTCCAATGCCCAACTCATTTTTCTAGCATGCCATGTTCCAATTCCCACCCCAGATGGGGGACAGCTATCTTTGACCCATCATACACAGCAAAAGGCAGTGTGCATGGATGGATACAGCCTCAGACACTGAATTTTAATTTAAATCTTCTTGGAAGGCAGAAGAGACAATTTTGCATTGCTCAAACTAAGAATGAGAAATGAAAGTTCACGCTCCAGTGAGTGCATCTGCCAGGGAAAATTTATTTTATTTAGCAATTCTAATGGGCCAATTAAAATATATCAGCATGACAATTTCATTTCTTTTCTGATCAGTTACAAAGTAAACAGGCAGAGTTAAATACACAAGCTGTGAAGCAAACTCTCCCACACCCCACAAAGTACCTTTCAACTGTGAAGTTAACTTTATTCACTCTTCTCTTTCTGGGAAGAGTCCAGTTACAGTGTTGGCGATGGTAGCCAACTGTATTGTTGCAGGAACAAGATAATGTCACTATCTAGCCACATACATACCCAGCTGTTTCATCCTGACATCTCTGTGAAATCAATAGCATTCATGAAGTCCTGCGTGCGCTTCCCGAGGACACTGCCACTGGTTCTTTTGGAGGTAGGGGCAGAGGGCAGTAAAAACTCCACATCAGGTAGCGTTTGTTTGGTTTTCAAGATTTTATCAACTTGCCTTTGTTGGTAGAGGTTTCAAGGTACAAAGGGGTGTCGTTGTGGGGAGGCAGGTTTGTGGCATGCTGATAGTTGGAAAAGCTTTGTCAAAGAAAGACTTCACAGCATTTTCTAAAGACTCTTTGGCCTCCAGTTTCAACTGATCTCTACTAGGAGTTCAGAGTGGGATTTTGAAAAATGACTCAGGGGCACAAGTCCCATTAAAAGATTAATATCCCTAAGCCACTTACGGCCCAGATGTACAATTGTACCAACTGAAACAAATGGAAATTAGGAACCTAAACATTTTTGTGGATTTGGGTCTCAGGCGTTTTTGAAAGATTGACCATTCCCTCAATTACCTTAAAACATGCATATTGCTTCAAAGAGACTTTAACTCCAGACTTCAACGAGAGGCTTCAGAACTGTAGAAGCTTAAATTTGACACTTTATGTATGGGTCTAAACAAAGCCTCTAATTATCTCACGCATTACAAAGATAGCTTCCCCAATTATCACCCCTAATGTCATTACCTCACAGAAACTACCCCTATTATCACCCCTATGTCATTACCTCACAGACACTAACCGTCCCCCCTCATCCTCGCTCTTCCACAATTTGATCTGAGGAAGTGGGTCTGGCCCACGAAAGCTCATCACCTAATAAACCAGCTTGTTAGTTTTTAAAGTGCTGCATAGGCCTGTCTTTTGTTTCAGCTACACCAGACTAACACGGCTGCATCTCTATCACTATTCATCCCTTAGGTGTCCAGCTCACATTGGATTTCAATGGGAATCGGGCAGCTAATTCACTTAGACCTCTGAGCAGGTTGCTGCCATCCAAGCACCCTCTTTTGGCCTCTGCAGCACCCTGCCTCAGTTTCTCCCTCTCACAGTGCTCCTCAAGAACCCCACTCAGCCCGTATCACTTTAAAGCAGGGGTGGGGAACTTTTTTGGGTCAGGGGCCACTGTCCCACAGAAAAAATCCAGCCAAGAGAGAAGCAAAGTGAGAAGCCCCTGGCTGAGAAGGAAAAAGATACTCCTCACATTCCCCTCGCACATCAGCGCCTGGGGGGCCAGATTAGTAGGTTTTGTGTGCTCCAGCCCTGTGGGTGGGTGGCAAGGAGAATGGAGTGCCAGCGCGGGCTTCCCAATGTAGGGGTATCCCTGAGCCTCAGGGGCCGGATCCAGGCAAGCCAGGGGCCTGGCCTGAGGTTCTCCACCCTTGCTTTAAAGGGTGGCCCATGGGTTATTGTGCCTCTGGTGGTTTGTTGTCCATTGACTGTCTTGACTGTTCCTCTTGATGCGGGACACATCTATGTTCATATTGGGAAGATATGGATGGTTTTTGTTGTTGTGCCCTTGCTTTCTTAGCTGCTTACTTCCGCCAGTAGTAATGTTGAGAGAGTAGGGGATGGAAAGGAGACTGACTGCATTTTGCAGAATCAAAATTTGTTTGATAGTCTCCTTGGCTCAGAACACAAGAATGGCCCATTGAATTATGAGTTCCAACAACTGTGGTGAAAGTGAATGATTGGCACTAATGTGCAACCTGTAGCATAGAGCAGGCACTATAAGCAGCAAGGCACTTCCAGTTTCATTAGGTAGTATTGCCTGGGGTTAGTAGTATTGCCTGGGGAGCATGGCAGGCAATTATGGAGTGCTTGATGGTTTGAATAGAATGCTTCCTATTAAACACATCTTGGAACCAGAGAACTGCTGGGTGTGAATTGTCTCTAACAGGACTGACTTACACAGAAAGTTGTATTTTGAAGGCCATGCATACTGTTAAGTGGTTTTTTTGTGCACTTTGCAGAATGCACAAGGGCAGCTCTTGCCCAAAAGAGCTCACAGGCTAAAGGCCAGAGTTTACCATCAGTCCAAATAGTTCTTATTTTGGGAGTACTCCTATTGAAATCAGTGAGATACTTGCAGATACCCAAGATACCACTCAGCTTGATAAGGACAATGAAATCTAAGCCTCTGAAAGAATGTCATAGTTGATCTAAAACTTCATTGGAGGCTTGGGGCTCACATGTCAGTCTTCTGTTGCATAAAATTTCAGCTGTTGCTGATGGCTACCACCCTGCTACTTTTATTGGGATGCAGGGAGCCACTTTTTGGAATAACTTAGTACGCAATAAAGAGCAGTAGTAAAAAGAAGTGTGCAATTTACTTCAGACTATATCACTTGATGTTTAATGTAGCAGTTTTAGTACTCTGGCTTCTCTGATCCTGAGGTATGCAGCAAACTGACTCTTACTGTAGCATGTATCTTAAATGAACATATTTAAGGCATGTGGTACTGAGCCTTTTAAAAAAGATTAATCTTCAAAGTGAAGTACCACAAAGTGGTTAGTTCTTTAGCAGAACAGCAGTTCTTCACTATAAATCTTCGACTTAATCTTGTACTACTACTTCCAATATGGAAAACTATTCAAAATCGAAGAGAAGTTAAAAAAAAAAAAAAAAAAAAAAAGACAATGAGCTGCAGACACCACCCATTCCTCCGTGACGAGGGACCCGCCGCAGACGTGGAATCCCTTGTACCGGATGCTGGCCTGCCAGGGCCATTCCCCGCTCTGGGCATCCTGGCCCCCGACGATGCGTTTGGAGGCCACTGGCTGCCCACAGGCTGGGGGCAAAGGAGGGGAGGGGTGTAAATAGACCCCAGGAGTCCTGGCTCCCAGCCCCCGGTTCTAACCCACCAGCCCCGCTCCCCTCCCGGCGCGGGGAGAGAAAGCCCAGGTTGCTTACTTGACTGGAACGCCGTGGCACCTGGAAGAGAGAGAGGGAGGTGTGAGACACTCCTGCTGGCAGTGTACCCACCGAGAGCCTCACCCCAGCCCGGCCTTTTCCTCCTGAAACTCACACGGGGCAGAGTCCTCCAGGAGCCAGCCGCAGGATTACTGGGCGGGGGAGAAATTCCTGAGGGACAGCTGCTGAGCACTGGCTCCAAGTTGTGAGGGACACACACCCGCACCCTGTCCCAGAGCTGGAGAGAGAACCCAGGCTCTCGGCCCACCCGTTGCTCTAACCACCAGACCACGCTCCCCTCCCATTGCTGGGAATAAAATCCCAGCATCCTGGTTCTCTTCCATCCCCCTTGCTCTAACCACTAGTTCCCACTCCCCAACCAGGGTTGGGGGTAGAAGCCAAGTACCCTGGCTCTCAGCCCACCCCTTCTCTAACCACCAGACCACGCTCCCCTCCCATTGCCGGGACTAGAACCCAGGCTTCCCGGCTCCCAGCCCCCCTGTTCTGTCCCTGTCTGCTCCCCATCCCGGCAGACCCCATGCTCACCTGCTAGCAGAGGCAGCAGCAGCAGCAGGGCAGGCAGTGGGCAGCTGAGATGGCCCATGGGACCGGCTTTTTTGACTCCCTCCGGCTTCCCCAAGAACTGGCACCAAGTCCGGGGCCAGAGGGCAAAGTCACTGGCCGCGAGGCAGAGGCAGGACGTCACGCTCGTAAACAGAGCTGTAAATCCACCCGGCGGTGAGTTCGAAGAGGATCCGAAAGCGGCTCCCCTTTCTACACCTCAGAGAGACCCCAGGCGTCCCGGCGCCTGGCTGCCTGCTCTAACCACTAGCCCCACTGCCCTGCGGTAAGATGAATGGCATGGAAGGCTCGCAGGAGGTGGTTCTCTGGCTCTGGGAAGGGCCGGGATGGAAGCAGCTCTTTGACTGTATCCACAGGCATGGGAGCCAGGGTGGAGACTGCAGGGGGCAGGGGGATGGCGGGGAAGGGGTCCCAGCTGAGCGTGTGGCTAGCACAGGAGTTCACCTATATCTAGGCTTAAATATTAAACCTATTAACTGCCTTGATGAGGAAATAATGTCGGGTTTAATGGAGTGAGAACGAAACCAGAGCGTAACCCAGTAAATGATCTCTGGGAGGGGAGTGGAGGCTAGTGGTTAGAGCAGCGTGGCTGGGAGCCAGGACTGCTGGCTTCTCACCCTGGCTCTCGGAAGGGGCGTTCCCTTTGACACCTTCCAGCTGCCCTTTGGTTTCATATTTCTGTTTGCGAAACTGAGGCGGTATCTGTATGCCCCTCCCGCCAGCGCTCCCTCCCCCGGCCGGATCCTGCGCCCCGGGTGCTGGATGCCTCTGGGCCATGGCAGCCGCCTGCTGCCCGCTGCCCGCTCTGCTGCTGCTGCTCGAGCTGCCCTGGCTGGAAGGTGAGGGCTCCGCTGGGGGCCTGGGAACCGGCCCAGGGCTTGAGAGCTCCTGAGTGGGGAGGGAAGGCAGGGTACAGGCAACGTGCCAGGCAAGCAGGAGCCAGGACTCCTGGGTTCGCTCCCTGGCTCAGGGAGGGGAATGAGGGCTAGTGGTTAGAGCAGGAGGGCTGGGAGCCAGGACTCTTGAGTTCTACCTCCAGTTCTGGGAGGGCAGTGGGGGCTAGTGGTTAGAGCAGGAGGGTTGGGAGCCAGGACTCCTGGGTTTTCTCTCTAGCTCTGGGAGGGGAGTGGGGACTAGTGGCTAGAACAGGGAGGTCAAGGGCTCTCGGGTTCTCTCCCCCGCACTGGGAGAGGAGTGGAGTCTAGGGGTAAGATCAGGAGAGGCTGGGGGCCAGGACTCCTGGTTTCCCTCCCCAGCTCTGGGAGGGGAGTGGGGGCTAGTGGTTACAGCAAGGTGCTCTAACCCGGACTCCTGGGTTCTAGTCACTCTGCTCCCCTCTTTCTCTTTCTCCCCAGCATGTAAGCAGCCAGTGGGGCTGCCCCGCATCGTGGGGGGCAGCGATGCTAAGAATGGGTCCTGGCCCTGGCAGGTCAGCCTCCGCGACGGCAGCAAGCACATCTGCGGAGGGTCCCTCATCGCTGAGAGCTGGGTGGTGGCGGCAGCTCATTGCTTCAAGAAGTGAGTAACCCGGCCGGAAGCCATGGCTCGGGGGCTGTTCCCCAGCTGCCACGCTCCAGAGACAGCTGCCTCTCAGTGCCAAGTGAACCCACCTCACTGTCTGGCCTCTTCTCAGCTGTTACATCCCAGGGGTGTCTTCATCTCCCGGCCCGGAATGCCATCCTTGTACGGCGTTATACACTGCTGTTCCCCAGCCGCTCTGCCCCAGAAGCAGCTGCATCCCAGAGCTGGGCAAGCCTTTTTTATGTGCCTCTCGTGTCTTGCAGAGACAAATCTGCCTACATGGTGAACCTGGGGGAGTATCAGCTCCTGAACCCCTCTGAGAGTGTGCGATCCTCTTCCATCAAGAATATCTACATCCACCCCAGCTACACCGATCTCGGCTCCAGCGGGGACATCGCCCTGGTTGAGCTGGGAACCCCTGTGAGCTTCAGCCGCGTTATCTTCCCCGTGTGCCTTCCGGCCTCCTCGGTGGAGTTCCCCACCTGCCTGCCGTGCTGGGTGACCGGCTGGGGGGACACGCAGCAGCGGGGGGCTGGCGGGATGGGGGGAATTAACGGGGCAGGAGGCTCTCGAGGTGCCCTGGCTGGGGGGAGGAAAACAGCCACGGAGAATGACGTGGGGAGCTGATCAGCTGAGTCCGGAGGACCATGTGGTTTGGAAAGCGAAAGTGTTCGGAAGGCTGCACAGATAGCAGCAGCTCGTGGTCCCGTCCGGGCGGGGACTCCCTGCGTCACGCAGCCCCGTTGAAACACAGTAAGGTGCAGCCCTAGCGAGTGGCATTGGCTGGGGGGAGGAAAACAGCCACGGAGAATGACGTGGGGAGCTGATCAGCTGAGTCCGGAGGACCATGTGGTTTGGAAAGCGAAAGTGTTCGGAAGGCTGCACAGATAGCAGCAGCTCGTGGTCCCGTCCGGGCGGGGACTCCCTGCGTCACGCAGCCCCGTTGAAACACAGTAAGGTGCAGCCCTAGCGAGTGGCATTTTTCGCGCACAGTTCAATGTCAGTAGAAACCTCGTGTCCCCAGTGTGTACGCGGAGGGTGAAATCGACAGTCACCCGTCAAAATCGGATCCTTCCGAGCTACCCAACTCTTTCAGCGTCACCCGGACCCTTGATTCTCACCCCAACAAAACCTCAGCACCCACGCTTGGGCCAGGATCAACAACCCTTCGCCATTCACCGGGAAACGTAGCTTCCCTGGACCCGCCCACAAGCCCTACACGTCTCAGTGGGGCAGTCCCACTAGTGTGTAACTTTAACAGCAACGAGCAACCTGTGGCACCTTAGAGATGAACCAAAATATATAGCTAGGGTCAGGAGCTTTGGTGGGCACAACCCACTTCCTCAGATGAGATGGAGCGGGGAAAAATGGGAACCCAGAATTTATATCAGAAAGAGAAGGGAGAAAAGGGGGAAAAGTACCTGTCAGTTGCAGTGTCGGGGCTAATGAGGCTAATTGTGTGGGCAGGAAGTGTCCCCTACCTAGCTTTTGATGTGAACGAGGTGTTAAACGCTAAATCGTGCTCTGCCCTCTATCCTCATCCTTGACCTTTAAATTAACAGTTACGTTCTTCCTACACCTAAAGATAATCTGTCCCAACCCGAACCTTAACTCTAACCCGAACCCTAATCCTAATCCTAACCCTCTAACCCGAACCATAATCATAACCCTAGCCACGATCATAACCGTAACTTTAACCCTAACCCTAACCACGATCATAATCATAACCTTAACCTTAACCCTAACTTTACCCCTTACCTTAACCTTAACCATAAACCTAACCCTAACCACAATCATAACCTTAACCCTAAACCTAACTTTATCCCTTACCTTAACCTTAACCCTAACTTTACCCCTTACCTTAACCTTAACCATAAACCTAACCCTAACCACAATCATAACCTTAACCCTAAACCTAACTTTACCCCTTACCTTAACCTTAACCATAAACCTAACCCTAACCACAATCATAACCTTAAGCCTAAACCTAACTTTATCCCTTACCTTAACCTTAACCCTAACTTTACCCCTTACCTTAACCTTAACCATAAACCTAACCCTAACCACAATCATAACCTTAACCCTAAACCTAACTTTACCCCTTACCTTAACCTTAACCATAAACCTAACCCTAACCACAATCATAACCTTAACCCTAAACCTAACTTTACCCCTTACCTTAACCTTAACCATAAACCTAACCCTAACCACAATCATAACCTTAACCCTAAACCTAACTTTACCCCTTACCTTAACCTTAACCATAAACCTAACCCTAACCACAATCATAACCTTAACCCTAAACCTAACTTTATCCCTTACCTTAACCTTAACCCTAACTTTACCCCTTACCTTAACCTTAACCATAAACCTAACCCTAACCACAATCATAACCTTAAGCCTAAACCTAACTTTATCCCTTACCTTAACCTTAACCCTAACTTTACCCCTTACCTTAACCTTAACCATAAACCTAACCCTAACCACAATCATAACCTTAAGCCTAAACCTAACTTTATCCCTTACCTTAACCTTAACCCTAACTTTACCCCTTACCTTAACCTTAACCTTAACCCTAACCCTAACCTTAACCCAACTTTATCCCTTACCTTAACCTTAACCCTAACTTTACCCCTTACCTTAACCTTAACCCTAACCCTAACCCTAACCCTAACCCCAATCATAACCAGGGCTCGCCGAACCGTGGTTTGGCACAAATGCTTCCCCCCTGCCCTCCCCAGGTGAACGCCCCATCCCCTAGGCCATGCTGGAACCCGCCCCACTGCCACCTCATCTTCAGGGCATCCCTTCTCCTGCCTTCCACCAGGGCAGCCTGTGTGTTGGCTCTCCTGCCTCTCCCCGAGTGTGTGTGTGGGGGGGGGGCTTGAGCCCCCTGCCCTCCCCATCCCCTGGGCCACGCTGGAACCCACCCCGCCACCTTACCGTCAGGGCGCCCGTTATCCTGCCTCTGCCTGGGGGGGCCCTATCCCAGTACTTCAGGGCATCCCTTCTCCTGCCTTCCACCAGGGCAGCCTGTGTGTTGGCTCTCCTGCCTCTCCCCGAGTGTGTGTGTGGGGGGGGGGCTTGAGCCCCCTGCCCTCCCCATCCCCTGGGCCACGCTGGAACCCACCCCGCCACCTTACCGTCAGGGCGCCCGTTATCCTGCCTCTGCCTGGGGGGGCCCTATCCCAGTAGGCCGCACTGCCCAGGCCCCCCCGCCACCCTTGGGAGCAACCAGACACAGGACGAGGGCCCCCCGGAGGGCAGGGCTGTGGGCTGGCGCGTGGGCCTCATTTGGGTCCCCCCGGGAGGTGCATAAAAACGAGCGGTGGAATTTATCAAATGCCGAGGGTCTAAATTCGAGGCCTCCTTTGAGGCTGAGTTCCAGGCCGATTGGCCCTGCCTGCTAGTGCCCTGGCCTGGAGCGGGCAGGCTGGCCCAGGGCTAGTGCCCTCTTGTCTTTGCCCCCTTCCTTCTCCCAGCCTTGTTTCCAGTCCCTGGCGTTGCACTGGGCTGGGTCGTCGGCAGCAGCTCTCCGCATCCTGGTGCGGCGAGGGACTTGGCTGGAGCTGGAGCGCGGTGTATTGGGTGGTCTCGCGCCCAAAGCGGATCCCTCTGCTGGGGGTGGGGGAGCAACTGTGGCTGGGGGTGGCCGTGACTTTGATCCTTGATCAGTTGCTGCCTTGTCCATCCCCCGGATCTCCAAGCGCTTTGCAAAGGAGGCTGGGATCATCCCCCCGACTTTACAGGTGGGAAACTGAGGCTGGGAGAGACCGGTTGGAAGGCTGGGCCAACTCAGAGCGTGTGCCCGCCCATGGCATGGCCAAGGGCTCCCCCTGGTGGCCAGCACAGCACGGTGCAGGCGCTAGAGTCCCATCCATGGCTGAGAGTTGTCCAGCCGTGCTCAGCTGAGTGGGGTCTGCTCCATGGGGGTGACTGGGCCCTGTCCCGCTGTCTGTCCCCAGTGAGCCTGGCAGCCCCCCAGACCCTGCAGGAGGCAGAGGTGCTGCTGAGAGG